CAGCGTTCAGGGCCTGGTCCAGATCTGCCAACAAATCCTCCTCATCCTCCAGCCCCACTGAGAGGCGGATCAGGGTGTCACTGATTCCCAGAACTTTCCTTTCCTCCTCGGGCACTGAGGAGTGGGTCATGATAGCCCTGCAGGGATGGAAAGAAACCTTTTTCCTAAGAATCTGGCATTTTATTGGTAAAGCCAGCCCAGCTGGTTCCATGCCAGCACCCCTGAAATGGCAGCAGGATTTGACACCTTCTCTGTGCCACTTGTGTGATCCCACAGATGGAAAGAGCTCCTGGCAACAGCTCCTGGAAATGATGGGAATGCTGACAAGGCACAGAGTTGTATCTCCAGGTTGTATTTCCATAACACAAATGGTTAATAAGAAGTGGATACTTAAAAATCTGGAATTGGAGCAGAGCATTCCTCAATGCAGCTGCTCCTTATCCCCACACTCAGCAGCTTCTGGGATTGTCCTCATGGCAAGAACGGTGCCTCAGCCTTCCAGGCACAATTCCTCCATCACTGCACCCTCACAGAATTCCCTCCCCCTGCAGTCTGCCCTGGCTTTGTGCTGCCCCTGAGGTTCTCTATAGRCAAAACAGCTTTGGGGCTGGGAAATGGTGGAATTTTGGGGTGCTCTGCAGCTTTTTTAGGCTCTGAAGATGGAAGGGTGAACTTACGGATGCTCTGCCAGGCTCTCAACATCGCCCACATTGTAACCCAAGGTAAACACCTGGGGGAGAAAAGGAACAGGAGGTTATGGATTCAGGGAGAGAGTGTTCATAAAATCAGGAATATCCTGAGCTGGAAGCACCCACAGGGATCATGGATCCAACCCCTGGCCCTGCACAGACCCCCCAACAATCCCCCCTGTGCATCCCTGGGAGCGCTGTCCAAACCCTCCTGGAGCTCTGGCAGCCTCGGGGCTGGGACAGCTTCAAGGGCTTTAAGGAAAAAGGAATGTTTAGGGACATTTTCCCACGTCTTTCTATAATAACTTTTACATTCTAAACTGGATCAGCTGTAATTAGGGAATAAAGTGAACATTCAGCAGTGGGAGCTCAGATTTAGAGCAGACTCATCCTGCCCCATCCCTGGCAGTGCCCAAGGCCAGGCTGGGCCTTGCAGCAGCCTGGGACAGTGGAAGGTGTCCCTGCCC